CAGTTCCCCATCAGGTCCATAAGCAGAGGGCGGGAACAATGCTAGTTTACTATTGGCTATTGCAAATTGAATTAGCCAATAGTAATGTCCCAATGCTTTTCAATGGGAAAATGTCATTTTGTTTTTCTATTCTGACATCGATCGTGTCAGAATAAAGAAAAAAGGACACATCAGTGCTTCTCTCCTTGGCGGCTGGGAGCGGGAGACTCCCAGAGCGCCCGGGAGAGTTTTTTTGTTTTGTTTTGTTTTGTTTTTGACAGCAGCAGAGCCGACGGACAATAGGAAACTATTGGGCAAAGCTAGCTGTCACTACTAGCTCCGCACTAAGCAACGGCAACAGTAGTCTTCATACAAACGCCCAATTACGATCTCTCATCACCTGCAGTTAAACAGCACAGCAACTGGTGTTGTGGAACACTAATGAGTATTTTTAATGGCTTTTGGACTTTTGCAGATTTTGAAACTGTCTCTGGAATAACTAACGTCACCAAAAACATATGGCATATTACAGTAATCTTCTAAAATGATATCTTCCCTCCGAATATCTGTTTTTTTTAATACCATCCACAGCAATTTATACTTCGCTAAAATGTATCCCATGAGTCAGTTTTACAGAACACAAAAAGGAAAATGAATCGTAAAAAATATAGAAATATATGCATATGTTTACTTAGGTTATTGCTATGTAGAGGACAAGAAGTATTTTTGACTGTAGTTACAAGGTTTATCAAAAGATACCAGTACATGGAAAATGTGTTTTTAAAGTGCATTTTTGGGCAAATGCAACCTCCCCTCCATACACACAAAAAAAACCAAAAGGGTTTGTCCGACCAGACCTTTTTATAGTTTTAGATTAGGGAATGGTTTGAACCCATGTCAGTTTTTTTGTTTGTTTTTGTTTTGTTTTTAAACTGCTCCCTGGGGTTTTGTTAAAGAGATTCACCAACACTTCCTGCCATGCTGACAATGTTTTGCCAGTCAGGAAGTAAGTGTCTCCAACAGCAATACAGACATAAATAAAAATGAACTTTTAGTAGGGCAGGCTAGAACCCTTGTAAGATTTTTATTTCTGTCTGCGTCCCTGTTGCAGATTTTTCCACACTTTCTATCTAGTAAAACTTGTTAGCAGGACGCGAAGTGAGCGTAGCTCTCTCCAAAAGAAACCCATAGAGCAGTAAAAACACAACAGGAGTTTTTAACCCTTCCTCACTCTATTGTAACTATAAAAAAGCGTTTGGTTTGTCATGCTCTTTAAAAATTCTCTTTGTCTTACCTGAATTTGCCATCACATGTCCATCGCCGGAGCCTCTTTCAGGACTGGAGACCTCCCATCCATCCAAATCAGCCCCCTTATTATGACATTATCATGCCGCAGTCTTCTGAAGCCTAACAGGAACACACTGCTGGTCAGCCAATAGGAAGAGTCCCCGTCTGGTAGAAAGCAAAGTGGGCAGCTGAAGAAGAACCCTACCCTAAGGACCCAGTCTAGAAGATCGACTTGGGACCTGGTGCAAGCCACTGCTATTAAAAATAATTGTTGCCTGGCTGTCATGCTGCTTTTATACCTTCAATACTTTGCCACAGATCTAGAACAAGTATGCAGATTAGGAACTCGGACTTCAGTCTTACTTTCCCAAACCCTATTCTTCTATAAGTCCATGTCTCAGAAAGTATCAAAGTTGAAGACATCCAAGCGATAACATTTTTAAAAGGACATTAGCAATACCTGCCTAGATGTTTCTCTCACTACAACTTTTCTTTAACACCATGGTGGAATCTTAAGAAGTTTTGTTTTAAAAACAAAAATAGCAAATTTATTAGGAGACCCTTCATGTCCTTTATGACTTGGTCTCCATTTCAGTGTCTTAACAACGTCTGTCACTGACAACCTTGGTCTGAGTTGTTCTTTTAAGATGTGTGGACTGCAACGTCAACATGGAGGAATGTATGTTTTCACCTGGGGCCATGCTGCCAATGAGGACAATTGAGGTGGCCGCCTCAGGTGCACTCATGGAGGCACAGCGGCGGGTGGCAATAATGCCGGAGTGTCCATACTGGACACTCCATCCTTGGTGCAGATCAGTAACACTGAGCCTGAAAAAATGTACAGGTTCAGCATCAATGAACTCCCTGGCCGGCCATTATGCCTGTCTTACAGGTAGCTGCAGTAGTCAAGCCTCTTCAGTGATGCGGATCCTGTAAACAGTGCAGGCACAGCGCTGCTGGCCACTGCAACTGCCTTTTTAAGGCCTGCCCTAACCATAAGAGCAGAACAAATCTGAAGGCATCAATCAGATAACTTTTTTTTTGCTGGCAAGGTAAACCCCATCGTTATAGCTGTGAAAATAAGAATAAAGGATCAGAGGGCAAAAAGATCTTCAAAAGGCTGCAACCTGTCCGTCAGCTCACTGTAGCTTCAGGTGAGCTTGACCTCTTTATGCACCTACATTTAGTTACCTACCATCAGCCTCATTTCCCTTTCTAGGCTAGTTATTCACTCTTAACGTCTTTGTATATTTTATGAAAGAGATGCCATAAGAATTTCTAATCTTTATGCCATACCTCAAACAGTCATGGCCACCTTTCACTAAGGCTCAAGGGCGCATTCATTCATGATTCCTGCTTAATCAGTTAGCATAGTTGCAGACCCAATTTTTGAAGAAATGAGGAGAACACATCCTGAAAATATTCTATGTCGTAAACATTGAAAATTAACTGCCTGGTTACCCTCACACTTCTAACAGAAGATTAAAGGAGAACTATGAGGTGAGTGCTCTTCACTCACCTCATAGTTCTTGCCGACCTGTGACAATGAGACTGTCACAGGTCGGCTCAGTAGATCGGGAAGTGAGCGAACACATACCGGCGTTCGCTCACCTCTCGATCCTGTCACAGCTCTCTACCGTGACAGGGGAGGGGCTGGATTCCCCCCTCTGATCCGCCAGCGCTGACTGGCGGAACGGACGGGGGAGGGGGCGGGTACAGCTGGCTCTGCCTCTAGATAGGCAGAGCCAGCTGTCACTCATGCAGCTGGGTGGATCCAGACATAATTGTCGGGTTCCGCTTCAGCTGCGGCGTCTCAGTATACCGCGAGCAGTAGCTCGCGGTATACTGTGGCGTCTCAGTATACCACGAGCTGTAGCTCGCGATATACTGAGCTTAGGGTGACGGGAGGACGCTAGTTTGTGTCCACCCGTTACCCTAAGGAGAACTATGGGGAAAAGCCCTAACCCCATAGTTCTTTAAGTATACAAGCAGTCAAATCTTTCTTGGAAGGTCTGCATGTTACAATAGACATAGTGTATGCTATACTGTGTATGGTAATTATTATAATTTTTAATGTTAACTGCAGATGCTGTTTTGTAAACAGTTTTAATAGGAAATGAAGAGGAAGCTTGTCTGGACCATTAGCACAGTCATCTGGGAGATGTCTGATGAAGCTGAAAAAGAAAAGCAGATTCATCTAATTCAAAGTTGTCTTGTTAATAACAAGTTGTGTCAATGAGCTAACCCTCACATACATGGGCCTGTTTAAAGCATGATACCTTCTTTAATATCAAGTGTTTTTATACACAAAAGTAAACATAAAACTATGCAAACAGTCGAGCTGGGATAGGTACAAATAGAATAATAAAAAGGCTGCAGTCATTTCATTTGCTTCAAAAATGTGGCTTTATGCTCCCTTTAGTTCTGGCCACATGTCTGAAGGCCTAGGCATTCTCTAGGTAAGTTCTGATGAAGGCAAGGACAGGCCAGTCTGAACTGTGATTCTCTATTTTTGTATCTGTGATAAAAAAAATCTTATTTGATCAAGTGCCTAGGCTTTTAGACACGTGGTCAACAAAGAGGGGCATTTTATTCTGGAAAGTGCTATTCTGCTCTATTATTCTTTATTTAGTAAAGCCATATAACATATAAGTATAAGAACACTTTAAGGTTTTGTACATTTTTTAGGAGATGTTGCTGCTCCACTGCAGGCAAGACCCATCTAATTATTCAAATCCACTGCATTATTGTGAACCTTGATATTCATTTTGCTATACCATCTCATTGTATCTGTGCATAGAGGGTTTTGGAAGCTCTTTATTGCTCCATCTCCCATGTGTCAACTCTAGCAATCCACTGCTGTGAACACCCTGAGGGGAATTTATCAAAACTGGAGCAGAGAGAATCTGGAGCAGTTGCCCATGGCAACCAATCAGCATCTCTCTTCAGTTTGCTCAGGTAAGATTTGAAAATGAGACAGAGAAGCTGATTGGTTGCCGTGCAAATCTGCTCCAGAATTTGCCTGCTCCAGTTTTGATAAATTCCGCCCTTGTGTAAAAATCAAATGGACCTTTACAAGTCTTATTTCTAGTATATCTGTATCCCCTATTCCTTCATACAATTACATCATTCCTCATGTCCTGATTTGTTTGATATTTTTTTTCTAAAGGCTGAGGTGATTGTTATAACTGGAAGAAAATAAAAAAAATTGGGTTGTCATTGGGGACACTAGTTCTGGTGATCCTACTGATCACCAGGGATTTCCCTCACTTTTGAGGTATTATGACTTCCTGTCATGGCTATATGACAGGAAGTGAAAGTAAATATCCTTAATGGGACATCGATGGGAAACAATTATGACAGGGGTTAAACATTTACTCTATCCAAAACTGAAAAAAAAACATTGGCTTCAGTTCTACTTTAAGTAAAAGGGGTTTCTTTAAACTGTTTTCACAGCTGCTATCCGGTAATTGCTAAAGAGCTGTGGCAGGAGAGAAGGGGCAGTAGATCCTTATATCACCCTCTATGCACAAGTACTGCCAGATGACATAACAAGACCAATAGCATAGGCACTTTAAATTGTTCATGTACATAACAACAATTTACAATGAGAAATGTCCTCTCTCCTACATTTTTGTTTGTTGATGTGCATTTTTCCATTCAAGATAATTAAATAGTGTCCTTAATAATATGGTTTACTGTTTATATTTAAGATGTGCATACATTCATGGATGTAAATTCAAAGGTGCATGCATCTGGCGTTAACTAACGTTAGGGTTAAAATGTACATAGGTATTAGTATGTTAAGTGACGTTAGAGTCAAAACGTTTAAAACTTTTTAAAATGCTGATGAAATCACGTATAATGGATGCTGCTCCTTGACACCTAAAAGTTTTCGTTTCAAGCAGAGTCAGCTGGTCCCCTGAGCACTGGCCCTGATATCCTGTGCATGGTCCTATAGAGCCACCCTTGTGTGTGCTAGTAAGTAATGCGTGTCTACACAAACACAGAGACACAACAAGGCAAGCGATTGCCCTGCTCCCTTCTCTTCCCTTTTCCAAGCTAGTAAATGAACAGCTGCTGGAGACTGCTCTGTCCCTTGTGATCTTATACTGGACAGGAAGTGCCAAGAAGCAGAGCTGAGAAAGTTGGAGCCAGCTTTTTAGAAACAGGATTACTGTAAGTGCTTGGGCAAATATTTAAATAAATACTTTGCTGGGCAATGTATATTTGTTTGATCTGGATTCATTATTCCAAAACAAGTTTGAGGGTTTAATACTACTTTAATGTGCTGTAAACAATAGTAAGACTATTGTTTATTGTTGTCATGTCAAATTGTTATGTCAAATTAAAAAAAAAAGAGTGAACTGGACTGAGTGGAATTAAGCAAGGGGTCACATTATGTCTACAGGTGCCAAACCTACTTTGGTGCCTAGTAATAAAGTAACATTGGCAGTTTCCCCACATATAAGTACCTTCAAGCCCAATTGAACATTCATTTTAATTTAGCCAAATGCATTCTGGATACATCAAAACAAAAGTTGCACACCGTCTTACAGTTCATTTTTGTTAGGAAACCAGCCATAGCCTGAGCAGAAAGTCCTGTCCCCTGCCAGCATGCTCTGTTGTTCACTGTGTGAGAGGTCTGACTTGCCCTTTACTGAGTCAAAGCAATAGCTCCCCAATCAGCAGTGCTCATATTCCCTGCTGGTTAGAAGGTAGCAATGATCAAACTTCAGTTCACCGGACGTTCGCTGAACCCTAAAAAATTTGCAAACCTTGAATACAGGGCCGGATTTACTTTCTCTGCTGCCCCAATGCCGGGTTCCTCGATGTACCCCCCTGTATGCCGGCCGCATACAAGTGATCTTGGCGACATCCACGAGATCACTTGTACAAAACAAGCGGTGGCTCCCCCGCTGTACATATAGCCCTGCTTGCCCAAAGCAGGGCTAAATGTAGAAAACAACTACCTGCCCAGTGCCTGGAACTGCATGTCCAGGGTGTCGGGAGATAGGAATTCCACACCCCTGCTGCCCCTCTACTCCCTGCTGCCTCAAGGCCGGGCCTCGGTTGGCCTTGTGGGAAATCCGGTCCTGCCCGAATATAGTGTCCGACCCCATTGAAAGTTATGGGTAATATTTTTCTGGCCCTTTTCAAGGCCCATTTGTTAGTTTTTGGTACAAAAAAAATGGCATAGTCAGCTGGGCATTGTTATGTGACACATACAGTATACCAATACAAATGTTTAAAAAAAATACCATATGGCAAGAAGCAGGTGTAACAGGGTGCTAGGGCCAATTATTACTCCCTTGTTTATCCAGCAGAGTAACTGGAGAGGGATCCCCCACAACATGGGCGGAAAATTGGGACTGTGTCATGTGCTATGAATATTCTTTTGGGAAGAATGTTACCTATTTTGAAGTTACCAGGGAAAAAAGCATACCCATAACCTCTAAGTAGAGACCATTAAAATAGTGTTCAAGTTCATGGGATTCCATGGAACTGGATTTTGATGGAATTATAGTGAAAGAGTTATCATTAAAAACTGATCTAAATGCCTAAAGTTTTTTTGCTAAGTAAAAAACAACAATATGTAAAACCCACTGCTTTGGACATTCCTATTCTTTAAAATGCTCCTGATGGAAGATCTTACATAATGTAGAGCGGCATTGCCACCTATGTGAATGTTGTATCTCAGAAATGTAACGCACCCTGAAAGTAAAAAAAGTACTTTTTTTGTGCCCCAAAACAATATAAAATCACAGCAGATGTTCACAGACAAATGTACAACTTGTGATAGAATAAAGGGAAGAACTGAGATTATATGTAAAAAAAGAATAATCATTATGTGAAAACTTCCTAATATGTACTTAGATAATGAAATAACCAAATATCCAGCTGTGACTCTAATCAAATGCAAAAATCCCCAGTGAATATGTGTAATAATACCTAAACAAAACCTTCTAAATATATGTAGAATTAATTATAAATATATTAGTTAAATATCCAGCCAAAATAATAATAATACAATCAGATCAAAAAGTAATTAAGTCCAAAAAAAGAAAGTGAATCAAACAACATATCAAGTCCTTGTTAATTGATTTTTCTAAAAGTGATTCTTCATTCACCCCTTGTGCTGCTAAATCACACACCGTAAGGAATGTAGCTCACCGTTATGTATTGAACCCTTAAAATAAAGATGAGAAAGCACTTAAACCTGAAGCTGTACGCTCAAATAAAAAAAAGACAGCCTATCGATGGTGAAATATTATTTAAACATTATTTCTCAGAGTGGCAGGAGCAGAGCCGATGCGGGGGCAAAGAGGTTTGGGGGAGCTCTCCTCACTGCTGAGCACCAGCTGCAGGGGTCTGTGTCCCCCCAATCCCTGCTGGAAGCAGGTGAAACCCCAGCTCCCAGCGCAGAGAAAAGATAACAATGCACAATTCATTTAAATAACATGCTTGGGGGGTGCCTGAATCCGGCAAGTGAAGTGGTGCACCTATAGAATGTACTCCAGCAATGTTGACATCTTAAAAAAACTAAAATCTTCCAAATTGACATTTCCAATCCCCAACCTGCTTATGTCTATAAATAAAGCTCCCAGGGGATCTCGGGTAATGTAATTCATTGGTAAATTACGTCAGGTAGGTTACCTCTTGCTACTGTTTATATTTCAGTAGTTTTGTGGAAACTGCCATTTGTGACACGGGTCAACGTCTCTCTGTTGGCAGGGCGTCATTCATCGTGATTGGCAATGGATCTACATCGCAGGATGATGTACTTATTTACATAGGGTGGCAAATATTGTGAGTCTCTTATTTTGAAGGAAGCTTCCAAGTGCTGATGTGTCCCACCCACAGACCAGTACATCCACCAGGTCAGGGATGTGGGACTTTGCCTTTGTCCCTATCAACATGAGAATAAGGTACCATGTTAACGGTTTGCCCTGGCAAGGTACCCTCCCATCTGGCCTGGTATCGTTCAGAAGGGGGGTGCACCTTGCTGCCCTCCCTTTCCTGACCAGTCAAGCTGCATGCTCGGATAAGGGTGTGGTATGGATTTTGGGGGAATCCATGTTGTTTCTTTACTTTTGTACTTTTTACCATGGGATCACCCTCAAAATCACATTGCAGGTCACATGCAATGCAAAAGAAAAAAAAAAGGCATGTGTCCCCTTTAAATCCAATACCAAATACTTATCCGATATAGTGGTCTGGTATCCATTTTTAAGGGGGACTCCACACCCACACAAAAAACAAAAATACTGGTGTGCCCCCCTCCAATCCATACTCTTATCTGAGCTTGCATTTTGCCTGAGCAGGAAGGGGAGGGGCAGAGAGCCCCTTTCCTTCCTCTAGAACCATACCAGACCACATGCCCTCAACAACAAAAAATCCTACAATATAAATCAAATGTAAAATCACATAATCCAGCAATGTGGATCCATCGTCAATCACGATAAGCAAAGCCCCGATGATCTGTTGGCACAAACACAATGACACAAGAATCTCAAGTTAAAAAGTATGTCAGTGAAAAAAAAACAAAAAAAAAACCTATGCAGTACATCTCTGCAATACATGCACATTTCCTCATATGTTATTCCTTTAAAGCCCTGCAAGTATAGAAAAATACCTGTTAATCTGAAAGAAATGCACTCAGCTCCTACGTCCTTTGTGGGTAGACGACACTGAGCATTTTTGTGGACTGAGTGGTATCAGCTCTGCCCAGTTGTCTTTTGCTAAACCACTCACTTTCCTATCTCTACAACATAGACACTAATCATTCTGTAGTCACAACTAGGAGGTCTAATTAGACTAGCTGAGATAAATACAGGATGCGTGCACAACACTCAAGACAGCTCTAGATTTCTGGCTTGATGAACAGAGTTTTTTTTTTCTTGCACTAAATAAATAGATATAACAAAACACATTCAGTGGTATATTTAACAGACCAAAAAGGAGCAACTACATGACGTTCATTGCTAAGGTTTACATACCTTTTAAACCACATGTGTCAAACTCAAGGCCCAGTGGACGAATCCGGCCCACAAAGCCATTTCCTAGACTTCTACTTTCAGATCTAGGTATTAAGTTATTACTAAAACCAGTGATAATCGAATGCAGAGGCAATTATGGCAATTATATAAAGATTAGATACATTTATATAGTCTTACAGGCCCTTTGAGGGCAACTGTTATGTTGATGTGGTCCACGATTAAATTGAGTTTGACACCCCTGTTTTAAAACTTTCCACTGGACATAATGGATACGTCTAATGGATATGTCTAATGCCTAAACAAGTATAAGAGAACAAGAGATACTATAAATATTATTAACATTTTTTTCTGCTGTCCAGTTTTGCAATAAAATGTTTGGCAAAAAGGTACCATTACGTATTTGCAAAACGAAAAGGTCCTGCACTCTGGCTTATGTGTAACCCTTTAATAATGTATTATTGTTACATATTATAATGCTGATGGAAGTTTTGTAGTCGTCAGGGCAATTTTCTTTTCACGGGAAGACAAGCTTAGCTGGTGGTTCAAAAGGACAGACAACCTGCTGTGAATAAAAGCCTTTTTTCTGCATATAGTCGTAGCGAATCATGTTTTTCATTAGTGTTCATGTTCTGGTTAATAAAAATAATGTCAAATGATTTTCGCCACAGCTTACAGTATGTTGAAAGGCACCCCGGATATTTGAGAGCCTATTTGAAGGAGAATGGCATGTTGTCATACAATAGAAAAATAACAAAATTACCACTTACTAAAGCAAAGGTTGTTAAGCAATGTTGTAAGGATATTTACCGGTACCTTGAATTACACACTAGTGATCCATATGTTATTGTTATCAGTAGCTTTTAAGCCACCCCTGCCTCAGCATGAGCCTTTCTGAAACCACAAGATCACTCCTGGCAAAGCAAAACTGATTTATTTACATTATTGTTATAACTGGTTAGCGCATGGAGCTACACTTAGCTCTGCCTTCACCAACTAATTTAAACAGTTGGTGGTCCTTTCCCCTGGAAGCATGCACAGGAATCAGTAGGCCAGGTAGATTATCTGCAAAAGGGGCTGAATGTGTTCTTCTTGCCATTCTGGGCTACCTGCTTTGTGCTGCCCACCTCCTACTCCTGTTGACTCACTAGCCTTATGCCCCTGTTTCTATGTGGAATCAGTGGCCTACCTGCAGAAATCTGACCCCCCTCCCCATTTGTCAAATCTAGAGCTGTGCAATCAGTAGTGAGCATGAGCTTTGTTTTTGCCCAGCTTAGGCTCTGACCCATAGGCGGTGTGTTGGACTGCAGCAGAGAGACCACAGCATCTACACAGTGTCCTTATTTGCAGGATGCTGGCAGGAAAGAGAATGTTTTATCTGGCTGTGGTCGGCGTTCCTACAAAAAAGAACTGTAAAGCCTGTGACACACTGCATGCAAAGCCGTGTGGAGCAAAGCAAAGCTGGGAGGCACGGACGTTCGCATGCAGTGTGTGAGCTGAGCGCGGCCAGATGAAAGACTGCATCTCTAGCCAATCGGCTCGCCCATAACAACTGAATGGACTTTGCATTCTGACGCGCGGGTTTAAATGCGAGAGCTGATTGCCAGAAGCTGAAATTTTTCATCCCGGCACACTCAGCTATGAAAGCTCTCGCAAGCTGATGCGCTGAAGTGAAAATTACAAGACACACTGCACGCGAAGGTCCGTGCACCACCGCTCCGCACTGCTTTGCATGCAGTGTCTCAGGGGCTTAAGGCTTCACATACATTTGTTTGGATGCATAGTGAGGCTAATTTGAAACATAGGATCAACTGGGCTTTAAACTGTATCTTTTAGTGAAGTTATACTTTGCAAGCCTCCCTGATCACACTTGCCAAGGCTCATACTTACATGTCCTTGCTCTGCCCAGCGTTTGTTGTGGGGTCTGCTCACAGTCACACAGACAAAAAATCTTCACAGTCGAGTCCTGTTTCTGCCACGGCTATATGTCACAATTTCCATTCATTTCAAGGGAGAGTCTAGATTCCTCTTGTCCTGATTGACTACTCCATATGTCACTTGATGGTTAAATTGTGCTTACTGTGAAAGGTGCAAGAGTTTTAAAAAGTTGGTAATAAATGTCTGTTGAATCATCAGACATTTTAAAGTGGCACTAAACTCTCACAGCGCTGCCTGCTGTCAGGATGGCGGAGTGGTGAGGGGGAGAGAAGCCGCGCCCGCAGCTGTCAGGATGGCCGAGCAGGTAGGAGATCGGAGCCGCTGTCATTCTGTCAGTTTCAGGATGACAGCGGCTCTGTGCGTGGCTGAGCGGAGGATCGGTAAATATCAGTGATATTTACCGATGAGAGATCGTCCAGTGTTTGTCCTTCTCACACGAGAGTACTAAAGGGTGTGGCCGCTGAGGGGCGCTGTAAAGCTTTCTTGCACAGGGTGCCTAAAGGCCTAAGGCCGGCCCTGATCTCAATACAAATTGGTAAACTAAACAAAAGATTATAGTCTATAACAGGAGCGAGCTTGGAGCAGTGGCTACTTTACAACACACACAGGGACCATGGGGTTCAGTGTGAAGTTACACTTTGATTGGTTGGTTAAAGCTTTGCCTCTAAACTTGTTCATTTAAAATCAGTGCAGCAATGGCAGCTCACATTTTTTTTTAAACGTGACAAGTTCCCTATGGATGTTACAAACTGGATGAGTGAAAAGCCTGTTTCCCTTACAAAGAAAGTAATTAGAAATGTAAGTTATGTATTTCGTAATTTCAAGAATCCCTTGTTAAGCTTTTAAAACAACACACTGTTTCTTCATTTATCATTCATCGGAGGTCTTCTTAAAGTCCATGACTGGTAAATGAGCATTAAACAATTCTGCAGCACTTCATTTATTAGCAGTGTGTTCCCAAGGCTTAATTCCAGCGTCTGTACATTATCTGCATTGCAGGTGTATGAGGCTGCAAAAGAGTTAACTCTCAGCTCTTAAATCAGTCAAACTGTCTTCTGCGGGGAGCATGCTCAGAGAAGATAGCAGAGAGAAACCAAAGCCAAACTAGATACAGAGAGAGAAAAATCAAGGGAGAGGGCTGAACGAGGGGAATGAAAGCGCACGCACTGATAGAAGCCCCTTCCTTGTTCTTTCAATAATTAATCCCGTTGGAATACAATTAATGAGCTTTTCTGCGGCAGACATCACTAAGGCAAACAGCCTAACTAACCATGCATTGTTTGAGAGAGGAATATAAATATTTTAGCTCTCCCAGCAGTATCTGGGCTCTTCAAATCCCCATTTCTAATTTTTCGATGAAATTTAAAAAAGAAGGAAGTAGAGTGGGATCCAGCGCTGCGTGCCCTTGGTCATCATCCTACGCGCTTTTTGTTCCTGTTCTACTAAATTCTCTTACTACCCAGCAGAGAAGACAGAAATCCTTTTGTGCCTGGAGGCCACATCCTTTGCTTTACTAAGGGGTCTTGCAAGCTACGGACAAGCTGGTGGGCTTCAAGACCGTGGTGAGAATAGAAAGGGGTTTAAGTTGATCCAAAAGAATTTGTTCTTGCTGCCCAAAAACACTAGAAAAGTAAGAAATTAAAAAGCGTAAACATGTATAAGCTGTTTACTGATATTTTAGAAGCTTTTAGCTATACACTTTATGCTACAAATTTCAAACCTACCATACGTAATAATGGCACATATAAAATAATGCCAGTACGGTATTGCATGTTCTGTTATAAGAACAACTTTACTGACCTTCAGGGTCAGGTGGAAACAGTAGCAACCATATTGAAAGTTTTTTTTGTTGAATGAATGAGGTGTTACAACAATCAGTGTATAGAAACTGGAGACTGAGATTCTCCCAGAACCCCGTGCTCCGGTTACTATAGTGAAGCACTAGAGATTACAATCATTTTTGTCTGGAAGCCCCAGGATCAAGAGGCAAAATTGAAGAAGGAAGATAGAAAAATAGGTGAATTTAGGGATAGGATGGTTTTATTTAGATTAAATAAGCTGTTTTTAAAAAAACTGTAACTCCTATTTAACTTATTACACTAGCAAGAGGTCAAAACAACCCGTTGCTAGCTTACCATTTAACCGGGGCAGACTAAGCAAATTACTTTCTAACAACACCTAGTAATTCGGAAGAGCTGAGGTAGATCAGCACTTTTAAAAAGGGAAATTCTGCCCCCTTCCCCTGGAGCACCCAACTGATACTGAATATGTCTGTGAAGGTTCTCATACATCCAGGTCATGGTATATCTGGAAACACTAAGACAAGGCAACTGGACTTGCTGTAATTTTCTTGAAGACGTTTCCCTTGGTCATGCAACCAGCTTTCTCAATTCAGAATGACTTGTACAAAAATCATCTGGGAAGAAATATGGTGAATGTTGCTCCAATCCACATAATGGGGTTGATTCACTAAGCTTCTAAACATGCCATGAACGCGCCATGCAAAAACACGCCTGCATTGCGCGCATAGGCGTATTACGCGGACGC